TGTGATTATTCGCTTCCTAACATGGAAAACGAGCCTAGTGAGGCTACCTAACATATGGTAACGTTGTAGAACTGATTTTTTTCACCGAATTGTATTTTCAGAAGTTACAACCACTTCATCACAGATTTGAATCGAAAATCGGTTGACGATGCCTATTACCGTAGAAGTGTTCGAATGAGGGATCACATCGTTTTTGATGTCTCCAACAAATGTACGTTATTTTTTTCCTTTTCTACTGAGTCTGAGAATAGGTGAGGGAAATCGAATTTTTAGGTGATATTTCGTTCCTTTTTTTGCCTATAATAATCATTTTCCCGATTTTCGCTTTCACCTTGTGTAAAGTCACAGGATGGGTTCTTTCCCTCTTAGCCTAAGTTTCTGAGAAGAGAATGAATTGGAATAAAAGGAAAGAAATGGAAGAAATACTCACGAGGATTAGGGGAATGTTGTGCAGGGCAGGGCTCGTAGGCAAAGAATTGTTCGAATGTGGGCCACGAGATGATTCACCAGCGAACGCATGCATCCGAACATCGGAACTATGAGTTCGCGATAAGAACGAAAGTCAAAGAAGGGGAAATTGCACAGTTTGAGACAGCCGGACCTTCTGTTGCTGCTAACCGAAAGCAAAGGATAAAGCATTTGCCGTTGATCAATCCCTTTTGGGATGCGGCACGCATTCTACTTCCATTTGTACATTCGTAGTGGCGTTTGAATGCGATGTGGCCTATACAATGACTTGCGGGGGCCAGCCGATGTACAAGTCAGTGTTTTTATCCTCCCAGACAAGTCTGGTACCAATTAACCGACCCCGGAGGGATGGAAGGCTTGGTTGGCCCGGGCGACTCACGACCCAGGATTTGATCCCGGACCGCTCGCGTGGTAAGCGTGCCACTTGCCACTACACCACTTCCGCCCGACACGCACTTGGCAGAACTTGACTTCGGCGACCTAGCATGGCTCACTCTTGGCGCGTTGGCGGGTACGCCCACCGACTATCTAATCACTCGCCGCAGGTCTATACATGGCGAGTGATTAGATAGCAGAGAGAGCGAGCGGGCTTCATCCATGCTCCAATGATCACCTCTTCCCTCGTTTTCAATGAGCCACTTTTCATCGTGAATTCTGCCTTTGGTTATGGACTCATCTTGATTCTCTGCCTAGCTTTTCAGATGTAGGCTATTTAGAATGCTTTCTTTGAAATCGGTATTTACGGCTCTCGTGGGCGGAAGTGGTGTAGTGGCAAGTGGCACGCTTACCACGCGAGCGGTCCGGGGATCAAATCCTGGGTCGTGAGTCGCCCGGGCCAACCAAGCCTTCCATCCCTCCGGGGTCGGTTAATTGGTACCAGACTTGTCTGGGAGGATAAAAACACTGACTTGTACATCGGCTGGCCCCCGCAAGTCATTGTATAGGCCACATCGCATTCAAACGCCACTACGAATGTACAAATGGAAGTAGAATGCGTGCCGCATCCCAAAAAGGGATTGATCAACGGCAAATGCTTTATCCTTTTATCCTTTATAAACGGTTCGATTTCCTCTTTGTTCCTGAAGGCACGGACAGCGATTGAAGTCGTCTGTTATTTTGTTAAAAAATTAGACAAATGCGAAGGGTAGCATTGGTGGTAAAAAAAAAAACATCATAGAAAATACTGAAATTTCTTTTGTGAGGTCGACCATGGTACTAAAGAGAAGGGAGGAAAGACGTGAGTGGGTATGCCAAATGTGAGAAGACACAGTTGCCATTCGACGTATACCGTGATTGCAAAAGTGGAAGCGGTTGCAGCGGTACAGCGGAGACATTACATTAGCTCCTTTGCCACGGCAGTTTCGTGTTCAAAAGTATCACACTCCCTGGTGTCCTGCTACCTCAGTTAAGGAGAGAGGGAACTCTAAAGTACTAATCGCAGTACTAGTGCCTTTAAGTAACCGAGCGGTGATTCTGAATCATAAATAGTACTGTAATACAAGAGCCCAAAATGGCCATTCAAACACGTAGATAATGGTCTATCGTGCAGGACGGAGACACCTCATATGAGTGCTATTATCGAATGAAGGAGTGCGTCATAAACCCTGAACCTGGTTTTCTTGAAGTAGTAAATACTAGTAGACGGCGTGAACTATCCCGGTCTAAAGATCTGCCACAATTTTGGCGCCCTTTCATAGTAGTATGAAAGCGAGCGCTCAATTCCCCATGGGTAATCAAAAGTGCAATCCATTTTTGCAAAAAGGTTACCATTTTGACAAGATAATCACTATTCGGCGTTATTGAATGGAAGCATGTTCTAGTTTACGGGATAATGAAAAGTCCCACCAAAGTGTGACTCCATCTCGTAGATTTCCCAGTATAGCGGAAGAAGAAATACTATGGCAGGTTGTGAATCTATAGGAGGCTGCAGTTGTTTCTCACAGCAATCCCTACTAGCGCTATATTGCTTGGTAGGGAGATATGAAGGGGGTTTTCCGTCACCCCACAATTACTATGACGTGAACTGACGCGATTGGTGTGGCCAAAGCGGTCTGGAATATAGCACTCATTCGGTTCCCATTCGATATATTAGAAGTGTTTTTTCTTATAGAAAACGCATTTGCACGGATTAACCAGCCCTCAAAAGATTAATTGGACTTGTGTTGGAGAAGTACTGCTTCATTGAGACACCTCCAATCGCTGCGTCACTCCCGATATCAAAAAATCGCGTTAAAGTGTCTCGGTCAATGAACGTGTTATTTATTCTTTTCTCTCCAAAATGTAATAGATTGTATCTGATTGAGTAAGGTAGCATAATATAAAAGATACTAAGGAAATGAGGAAGGTTTTATTCTGAAAACTTACTTCACCTTTGAGAGACTTTTTTACCGAGTTTTTTTTTAGCCAAGATCTGGTACAAATCGGAAACGCAGCTCACAGGCTACGGTCTCAATGAGAACCTCACGATGCTGGCTCAGGGTACTAAAGCAATCTACCTCGGCAACGCTATATTAGGTTCGTCATTCAATTCTTTTTGAACTTTGAATCACTTTCTTACAACCTGGGCGAAGAAGAGAGAAGAACTAGAAGAATATGTCTTTTTGCCTATGAGTTTTCCTGAGATTCCATTCGCTTAATCTGCCTTATACATCAATTATTATACTTTTTATAGGTGTGGCAGGCTTCGAATTCGCTTACGATTACGTCGTCAATCTTATGGGTGAACATGGATGTGGACCTTCGGTGAGTCCATATCCCACGCCCTAATATGTACCACTTTGTCGGTTTCTTCCCACTCAAGGTTTGAGCCAAACCTGAAACATCTGCAGCGATCCAAGTCCATCGATGCGGTCATGCAAATATGTTTATAAGTTTGCAAGGCAAAAGTGAAAAGGAGTTTAACAAAAATTAAGGCCTCAATAAAACCAAGCACGACGTCAATGCAGGGCGGAAGTGGTGTAGTGGCAAGTGGCACGCTTACCACGCGAGCGGTCCGGGGATCAAATCCTGGGTCGTGAGTCGCCCGGGCCAACCAAGCCCTCTATCCCTCTTATGCTTTATGCTTTATCTTTGAGTCAGTGCAACAGTTCACAAACTGTACGTAACAAAAATGTAATTATTGGCCATTATGGGGCAGAGTAAGGCGAAAATAGTTGAATCCAGCAGTTTGAAGTCTGAGTTGACTCAGTGAATTGGGAATGACTACGTTAAGAGCTTGCTCCAGCTTATGAGGGACATTTCGAGAATGTTTCGCCGTAACACTTTTGCCAGAAGCTGCACTACATCAAGTAAAGTTTGCTGCTGTGCTCCGCGGGCTGAGATTTTTGCCTTCCGCTGCATATTTTTTGTTACCATCACGCAAGGTGTTTGCTGCTCTAATGCTAAACTTGTAGCTCTAACGTTAGTGTTAGGTCTGCCTAAGAGTAAGGTAGTTCGTTCGAATTGCATCTTCATTATTCCAAAGCGCTTCTCACCGTCGTTTTCTCTCAAACTTGAACAAACGAAAAACTTGTGTCCAGGGGTTATTCAAGAGAATTCACTCTTTGGATACTCGACTTTGTAATGATTGAAATGAAGATAAAATAAGAGTCAGTGTGGGATTCTATTAGGTGTTTCAAAAAGTTCTGCCGTTTTTCAACCCCGATCTTCAATATGCATGTATCTCGGCTTAAACCAAGCCTTTCAAGTTGGAGTAAAACTTTTTCGAATGCGCTAACCTTTCGCTATAAAATGCCGTTTCGTTGTGTACATTTGTTCAGAATGCTGGAGCTCTGGAGGCGATGAACTGAGGGAAGGTCGTTTCCAGCATCATGTTGGGTTTTGATGCATTTCTCTTCAAGGAAGCTATCAAGATCCTTGGAAAATTGGCAGAACTGGTCGATAGACCAGAGAACTACTGAGTAAGATGCTCGTAGCATCACCCCCTAGCACACCTGGTCCACTTGTACAGGGTTGGCGGTGCGATGTGCGTGCAAGACATCTGTCAGGGATGTGTCCGTCCCTCTACTATAATAAGGAATGCTGGACCCATGTCTTCAAGTTTTTGGTGAATTTTGACGTAATGTTAAAAGTACTTTTCTGCTGTATTGTTCCACCTGATAGGAAAGAACATGGTAGCCGCTGACCTTGTGGAAATTGCCATAACCCTCCTTCAGCACAGTTTTAAGTTTTGCAAATTTTGTAGAGCTTGGATTGTTGATCTATTCAGCGGAAGCTTCGTTGGATGTGGAAAAGACAACATTCTTCATTGCCGTTACAAACTAGTAGAAAAACGAGTCGCTTTTATCAAATAAAACGAGCTAGAACTTGATGGAAACCCTTCAATTTGGTGAATTGTCGCGGAACGCCCATATCAATTTTTTGAGCTTTCCAGCTACTTCCGTATAACTTGGCTCTACAACCATATACAACAAGTTGAGCAGGACCTTCTCGATGGTCATGCGTATGACTGCTCCAGTCAATTTTTTCGGCTAATGGGTGGTAACTCCTATATGCGACCACCACTCTCACCATAACCAAGGCTCTCGCTTTTGTTACAGTACTTTTTGAACTGCTTTTGAGAGCATATCCCATGTGAATCCAAGCCAAGTGTTAACATCTTGACCTGCTCCCGCTATTTTCAAGTCTATTTGAAGTTAGAAAAAGGAAATCATGCCAACTTGCTCATCGAGTACGCCCCATTCAAATCTGTGGAAAAGTTATATGAAAATGATTTAGAACAAAGTTGAGCGAAGCGTTGCTCAGAGCAGGAAAAAGCTCATTGAACGTGTTCAATTTTCACGTTTACCCCCTGTTCCCCCGCGAACCTCGGCATTATTGGCTATGTTCTTTCTTCTGTGCCGTAGAGCTTACAATTTGGAAGCAGGGTCAACCCTATCGTTGTTACTCTTCGGAAATTTTTTACGACCCCCCCCCTTCATGGGTGATTTGATACGACCCCCCCCCTTTGTATGTAACACTTGTGTAGAGACAGATTACCGTCAATATTTATTGCTACTTGAGTCATCAGAGATTAAACTAGCAAAATCCGCGACATAAATCCGATACGCGCGATTTGTACAGATTTGCAAGAGAATTTTTACACTCCTCTTTCTAGGGCTATAACTTCCTTCATATTCGAGCTTTCAGCGCCGAAGTGATTTGATTTGGAAAATTCAAATTATTCTCTCTCCAACCATGGGTAAAAATTCTTCGAAAGTTAATTTATAAAAATTTAGTACGTTGTTACTTTTTTCTGTGCAAAGGCGACTTTTTGACCTTCAAACGATCATAACTTCCTTCAAAGTCATTCATTTGGGAAGCTGAACACGGTATAATAAACTACAGGATTCAAGCTTTCTAACGAGCACCCAAGCGTTCCTGAAAGATCAGCAGTTCAAAAATTAGTCCCGTTGTTACTTTTTTTTGAGGGGTATTCTTCAAGCCATTTTCTCGAAAACGCGGGTTTTCTTAGGTTTCACTGCCCGTAACTTCTTGGAAGACCAATTTTATGTTTAATTTAGGATGTGCTAGAAAGCCCGAGCATACTGTCGGCCACCGAGAGGGTACGACCCCCCCACCAAGCTCAACTGAGTACGACCCGTTGTTACCCGTAACAACGTAGGGTTGACCCATTGGAACCTTTTATCAATATTACTTTTCTGACAGTCTTCGACCATATTACAGCATTAGACTTCAGTGAGGTCTATTTGCCCATACTAATATTACTGACAGGGCGCGAGCTGATGCTCCGCAAAACTAGTGGAACCTTTGGTGAGTTCGTTATCGTATCGGGTGGTTCCGAGGTGTTTCTCAACACGACGTCGGAAACGCTAGAGGGGGAGGTGCTTGGTCGGGTAGATTACAAGATCAAAAAGCTTCGAGCTATCTTCAGGCCTCTGAAGAAGACGAAAGGTCGAAACGTCAGGCCAGTTAATATCAACCTCGTGTGGCACAGAAGAATTAAACAATTCGGTAGCTACATATATCGATTGCATATTTTCTGGATTTGAGAGAAAATAAAGCATTCAAAAGTGGAGTGTCAGAAAACGGCAAAATTTCTGAAGCAACTAATATTATAGTACAGAATATGTTGTCAGCTGAAAATTAAGTTAAGCTTAACTGGATCCATACAACTTTCCGGAGAAAAATCGGAAAGTCTGCCCTCAAGAGAGGATTTCACGACAAGGTCGAAGGAGCGGTAACCTAGCTAGCGGAAAAACATTCGAACCGCGTAAGGGTGTGTATCGGCACGCAACTCACTGCGAAGGATGCGCCCACGGCGAACCAGCATGACCTTGCCCGCGGCATTATTGGCGTGGCACGCCCACCGACCGGCTAATCATTCGCCGCAGGTCTCTAGCCGTCTCTG